TTTGGCAGTGTCTGAGGTGTGAATGCTCACCCTGAACATTTAACAACCACCTCTCTCCCTCACACCTGGCTGAGCCGGCTCCAGCATTGCCTCGTGTCCCCCTTCAGTCTTCTTCAGCTCATCCTCTAAAAATCCCCCCTCCGGCCTTCTTCCTCATGCCTCCTCCTCCGCCTCCTTCTCTCTTCCCCCTCTCCCGTCCACCCTCTCCTCTTGAGCTTCTTACGTGGTGGGAAATGCCCCTGCCCTGATGCTGGCAGGGCTCTGAAGCCCTTTGGGGATGCTCTCGGCCCCAGGGGCCTCTGCACCAGGCGGTCACATGCAAGCTCCAGGGACCTCCCTGGTGGTCAGGACAGGCACCAAGGGCCTGGTGAGACCACTCTGGCCGTCTTGAGTGACGGAGAGTAAACTGTGAAGCGTATCATGGGTGTGCCAGCCCCACCCCGAGGTTTATACAGTCATGTAGGGTATGTGAAGGCCTTCCCTCCGGCCCCGCTGCGCATGCTCCGAAACGGCTCTGCCTCCCCCTCTGATGCCTCTCTAGGTAGCCGGCACCTCCGTTCTCCTTTAGGGCAAGAATGCCAATATTGACCCACTCAGTTCCTCCTTCCTCAGCAAGGCCATTAACCTGCTGGTCCCTGGATGAAGGGCTCGTGCCGCTGAGAACTACGGGGCCTCTTCTCACCCGCCCATCACTGCCAAGGCCAAAGTCTGAAGGGGAGGCCCGGGGCCAAGAGCCACTGAGAGTCCTTTGTGGCTGCAGAAGGTGAAATCCCATCCGTCCAGCTCTGTCCTTTGTTAATACAGATACACATGAATGTCAGAAGGACAGAGGTATCACCCTGAGACAATCCAGAGGGAGGCCAAGCCATGTGGAGAGGTAGAAGCTCCATTATAATCTGGTACCACACCCATGCTACCAAACAACCCTACCCCCACTCACACAAAGCCCCCATTTCAGCAGGGCCCTGCCCCCCCCACCTCCCGCTCTGTACCTCCCCCCTGCAGCAGACTGGGCCTGCTCTTTGGGCCAACGGCAGCTTGGGCTGAAACTAGTGATGTGGAGGACACTCAGAATGGGGAAAGGAAGGGGGAAGAGAAAGAGGAAGAAGAGGGGAGGAGGCAGGGCAGGGGGAGGAAGAGGGAGGGTGAGGAGGGGGAAGAGAGAGAGGAAGAAAAGGGGAGGAGGAAGAGGGGGAAGAGAAGGTGGGAGGAGGGGGAAAGGGGCTGAATGCAGGGCGCTGAAAAGCAAACTCGGAAGCATTCCAGAAACAACTCCTTAGTTGAGCCATCATGCTTAAATACTAATCCAAGTTAATTTGGTCTGTGGGGACCAAACTCTCTGAATACATTACTTTCAAAAATACCTACAACAGCCCCCAGAGAAGAGATGTCTCCTGAATCTTATAGACTCGGGAGAAACCTTGAAGAGGAGGCAGTGAGGTGCCAGGGACAGAGGGCTAGCTCAGGAGTCAGAAGACCCAAGTTCAAAGCCTACTGTACTTAGGTAATACCTGTGTTCACAGAGGAAATCCCATAGCTTCCCTGAGTATTGTTTTCCTCATCTGCAGAACTGGACTAACTGACCTCCGGGAGGTTCCTTCCACATCATAAGCTCCCACCCGAGGACCCTAGCCTAGGCCCAAAGGAGGAAAGTGAGGCCCAGAGGGAGGCTAGGTTCTGTGAAGTAAAAGCTGATCTAGAATGACCCAGTAGGATGTAAACAGAATGTAGTAAGAACAAGACTGAACCAGCCAGTTGGGACCAAAAGCTCCTACCTATGGGCAGTAGGTCTTTGGCCCTCACCCAGCTCACTCACTGAAGCAGACTCGGGCCACAGGCAGCGTCAGAGGCTGATCCCCTGGCAGCAGCAATCCCTGCAAGGCTGAGTGCTCTCTGGCACCTTGCGTCCTTCCCCTCACCAGCCTGCTGGAGGAGACATCCAGCCGGCCAGCCCGTTCCCGCCTTTCTGGGGCTCCGAGGGGCCGCACCTGGCTTCTGACACCACCCGTCTCCCAAACAGCATCTCTGGGAGGCAGGCCTCCCAGACGGTGCCAGCCTGCAGGGACGCCGGCTTTTCTTAGCCGGTGCCGGTCCCAGGCTCGGATGTCAGACACCCAAAATACCCACCCCTGCCGCACCCCAGGCTGTCTGTCTTCACCACACAGGGATGGATTCTGCTTAGCTAAAGGACAGCTTTGGGAAATTCAGCTCCAAAGGGGACAATCCAAAGGGAGGCCATTAGTGTTCTCTGGGCAGTAGGGAGGAGGGCCCATTGCAAGAAGAAAGGGGATCAAGGGAACACGGCCTGAGAGCATCCATCCATCCATCCCCTCATTAAGCCAGAGCCCCACTTTCCAGATGCCCCAAGCCCCGATTCCTTCATTAGATGAGGACCCCTTGTGACTGAGTTACAGAATGACCAATGAAAGGCATAAACGAGTGTGAGCAAGGCCCAGGCCTCCCTATGAATCAGTCACAGGCATGAGCTAAGAGTGAACAGGCCTTAATCAATCAGGGAGGAGCAACGTCTTCGAGCTGCCCGATGAAATTGGATGATGAAACTGATCAAGACTGGCTGAAAGAATTGCCACATCCCTAGGCCTAGATTCTAGCAGAAGGGAATTAGGCTTGCCTTGAGAAGACAGGCCTCTTGCCCCTGGAAAGGGCAGGGGGATGGAGGCAGTGAGGCCAGAAGGGTGCCACGTTCCCCTGCCACCTGACCAGAAAACAACAATACTGTGGGCAGAGGAAAACAGCTGGACCTTTGACTAGCACCAGTGGTCCCAGAGCAGCAGCGGCCGATGGCATGCCTCTTCTAGCAGCTAAGAGATATACCACAGACAAAGCAGGCACACCAAGGGAAGGGGGTTTCAGGACTGGATGAGGGTCTCAGCCCACAGACAACTACAAACACCCACCCCAAGGGAGCTCCATGAGAACTGCACAAGGGGAAGAAAAGGGTTTCTAGAAGCCAGGGGCTGCACTCTCTAAGCTGGAGCCCACTGTCCCCAGGGACCAGGGGAGAGCATTTTTCCACCTCCCTACCCACAATGGTGTGTATTTCTCTTCCTACGCCATCTCGGTAAATATCCCTTCCTAAAAGCTACTTATGTCTGGTTAGCAACCAGTGGGGAGCCCACTGGTGGGGGCTCGTGAGCAACAGTGTGAGGAAACCACTCCCAACCCATCAGAGTTACTCCAGAATCCTGGGAGAGAAGCAGCAAATGCCCCCTGGGGTTCCCACCTGGAAGTTCCCATAGGGGCCGGAAGAGTGATTTTACAGCTGTCACTGTGGTCTTTGCCTACTGAAGCAAGAGGGAACTTCTCCCTTCACAGAAACACTTATAAAGCCTCCCATGGTTTCCTTGAGAAGACAAAGAGGGAGAAGCGCTATGGGGAGGATGCTGCATCCCTGTCTGAGGGGACTGCGGGGCTGGCTGCTTTTCTTAGCTGGTTTTCTTTGTTGCGAGGAGAAGGCTCATTTTGGGGAGGCAGCCGGGGAGGAAGGGAGAGGGAGAAGGAATTTCTGAAAATGACTGATATTTAAAAGGGAATCAATCAAACTTTTGTAAGTGTTATTTTATTTCTGAAGTTTTCATTTAAATGTTTTTAAACGAGATCCTAAGAATCGTAGTTTCTTTGCGCTTCAAGGAAAGGCGACTGTCGGAGTCACAAAGATGCCCTGTCCTACATCTCTGGGCACTGAGGAGGGGCTCCCTCTTAGTAGTGGGCGCATGCGTACCCAGCCATCACACACAACAATCAACTCCCCAGCCACAGTTTCCAGGGCGTATCTCCTCCCCCCACCTTGCCCCACTGCTCCCCATTACATAATCTTATTCAATTCCACACTCCCCGACCATCTGCAAACCTTGCTACCTGCCTGGGGCTCCTCGTCCCCTTTCTCCTGGGCTCTCCCCGGGCCAGCTTTCTCCTTATCTTGGCCAGAACCAGACCTGGCACTTCCAACCACGTCCGGTCCCTGCTACCATTCACTGACCCTCCACCGCAGCCCCCAGCCCCACCTCTGTCATTGTGTTCTACTCTCCCATTAGAGCGTAAGCACACTTCCTTGTATTTCTCTCCCTAGAATTTGGCCCAGTGCATGGCTCATCATAGGCACTCCCTTCTCTTTCAGTCGTACAAAGATGCTAAACCTTAGCAGAAGGTCCTCTCTCCCGAGCCCCGCTAGTCAGTCATCTAGCTCACGGGCAGAGGCCTTTCAGGCCAGGCCACATGAGTAACCCAGGACGATCAGACGGAATCTCATTACTCTGCCTTCTGACAGGCTAAGAGCAGCTGAGACCGGCTGGCAGAAGGGAGCCCCTCCCCCCACTTCAACTCAGCACCACAGAGTAAACCGCCAGCACCTCAAGCCCCACAGCCTGTGCCCAGGGAGCTGGAGTCCTGCTGGGGAGAAGCAGGGATGCTCATGTGGGTGAGTAAACACAACGAGACTTTAGAATGGGGAGGCAATATAACAATATAGAAGGCGGCACCTGGATTATGCTTTGAAGGAAATGGGAGTCTAAGAGGTTAGGAGGGAGAGCCTGCCTGGCATGAGGCACAGCCTGGGCAAAGCACCAGAGATGGGAGATGGAAAGCATCACATGTGAAACAAAGAGCAAGCCGACCAGTCTGAGCCAAACATGGCAACTGGAGCTGGGAAACAGACAATCCGTCTGCAGAAAGAGATGGATTGTGAAGGGCTTCAAATGCTTAAATACCAGGAAGAAGAGCCCTGTTTTGTCCCAGAGGCAGACAGGGGCCATGGGGAGTGGCCTCCTGAGCCCTGGGCCCCATCCCTAGGGCTGATGGGAAGGTGAGGCCAATGACAGGCCAGAACAGCAAGCCCGGGAGGCCTTGGAAAGCCCTGTGGGCGGGCAAAGACCACAGCAAATCTGGATCCATTTCACCCTGGGATGGACTGCAGGAAGCACTGGTAGGCACTCTCCTCCCAAACAATCCCTGTAATTCCAAATACAAAAGTGGCCACTCACCTGTGCTAAGCACCGCAACCAGGCTGGGGGACACGCTTTTCCTTGACGCACCTGGAAAAACCAAGAAAAACAGGTTAGCCACGTCCCTGCAGACTTTGTATGACATGTAGCAGCCAAGCACAAGCAGGACGGGGGCTTTCCACGGACAGCTGGCGGGGCGAGCCTGAGGCTGGGGGGAGAGCATGACCAGGACAGAGGAGGGGGGCAGCTGGGCAGGGGCGGCACCGGCTCCCCCTCAGCCAAGGGGACAGCGGGGCTGAGGAAGAGGGCTGACCGCCCACTCAACGGCTGCAAATGTCCCCTCATCAGCTACCTGCCCGCCCAGCCCAGCCCCAGCGGGGGAACCCCGGAGCACCTGCTGCCGTCCTTCACCTCCAGCACAGACAAGACACTCCCTGTGTGTGCCCTGAGAGCTGGCAAGGTCAGACATCCCTTCCAAGCCACGTTCGCCGGTCAGCCAAGAAGAAGAGAGGCTTGGAGACACGTCTGGGACACCAGGAATCCGAAAAGACAGCCAGAGGCCTTGTGTCCAAACAGCGTCACCACCGTGCTGAAAATGGGCTCGTCAGGGCACAGACAGAGCATTGTGAGGGCCCTCAGGGATCGTCTGACATGCGCCGTGCACATGTGTGTGTGTGTGTGTGCATGGGTGTCCTGGACCCCTTGGGCCAGCGAAGCCTGTGGACACTCTTCTCAGACTAAGACTTTTAAAATGCGTACAATAACAATTCAAATGAGATGATATATGTAAAAGCTATTTTTATTATTAACTACATGCAGTAAGATTTGCAAAGCACTTAAAGTATGCTATTTCATTTGACCTTCACAACAACCCTGGGAGGCAGATGCTATTATCCCCATTTTACAGTTGAGGAAACTGAGGCTGACAGTTAAATGACTTGCCTAGGATCATCCAGTTAGTCTGAGGCTGAATTTGAACTCAGATCTTCCTGATGCCGACGCTCTTTTCACTGCACCACAGGCTGCCTCCCTCCTACTGGCAGTATCTACCTCACAGAGGCGTTTTGCAGACCCCAAAGCACTTAAGAAACAGGGGGCAGACACGCTGGATTCATAGAGAGTCCTTCATGGCCAGCACTTGGCCTTACTTGCTCTGAAGGCTGCCCTGGAGCCGCCAGCTCAGCAGCCTGGGAGCCTAGGGGCCCTGACTGGGGGAGGGGTGAGTCAGGATGGTCAGCACAGGGAGCCAGGGGTACCTGTGGGAGCCAGGCCCATCAGGGCCCACAGCCTCAGGGAGGCCAAGCATCTTCCTGCAGAGCGCCGATCCTCACCGGACCCTTGCAGTCCCACCACATTCACCCTGACCTACGCCGACGACTTCCTTCCAACTCCCAGTGGAAGAGACAAAAGCTGCTCCTCCTTCTTCTCCCCTCACACCCATCACCCCCGACCTGTGGGGTAGCCAGTTGAGACTCTAGCCTCGGGGCTGCCGGGAGTCCTATAGGGCTTGGCTGGGAGAAGACCACCATTCAAATCCTTGCTGCTGCTGCTTGCTACCTGTGTAACCTTGACTAAATGGCACTCTTGGACTCAGTTTCCCTGCCTGTAAAATGAGGATGGCATTCCCCTCCAGCTCTGAGGCCTAGGAGGCGATGAGGCCTTTCCCTTGGCCCTTCCCCAAAGACCTAGGGCCTGGCTTTTCCTCACACTGGCTGAGTGCCCTAGGACCCCCACACTATGAGATGCCCTGCTGATGGATGACCGGAGAGCAAGAACCCCAAGGGGCTTCAGGCATGAGGGGGGCTGCTTCATGCCACCCTCCAGCCCCCACTGCGGACCCTCTACCTTCAGGGAAAACTCTGCTTCAGAGGAGGTTGTTGTGGGGGCAGGAGCAGAGAAAGACGGGAGACTTCTCAAGAGGAAGAGAAGTCAAAAAAAGAGGACCTTCAGCCTCTCTGTCCCCCTTCCTTCCCTCACTTGTTCTCAGAGGGAGGAGGATGGGGGCAGACCTTAGCCGTGGCCCCCAGCGCTTAAAGTACCTGCCCAAGGGCAACAGCCAGCATGGGCCATGGGGAGATGGTGGCCATCTCCCGGCCTCAGCTCGGCTCTGTCCTCCATGCCTTCATGGCTCTAGTCTCCTCAACGTGAAAACGAGGGGAGATGCCACGTGATGTGGAGTAAAGGAAGCAGGCACCCACGTGCACACGTGGACACAAACACAATTGTACACATGTATGTCTGTACCTATGTACACACATACATGAACATCCATATGTGTGTAAAGTTACACCGTGGCCGCACAGCTTTCCAGGGTCCTTCCAGCTCCCCCAGCAGTGCAGTGTAATGAAGAGGACGTGGCTCAGGGAGGGGCCGGTGGGCAGTGGGGGTCCCAGCTTTCTGGTTAACCATCAGTACATGACCAGTGGAATGAACAACATTGTAACAGTCACAAGGGCTCCCTGCTGTAGGTTTCAATCAAACCTTTTATCTCCTTGTTCTAAGTATGGGGAGAGGGATAAAAAAATCAAAGTAATGTAAAAGGAAGAAGAAAGAAGAGAAATACTGGCATTTATCGGGGCGGCGGTGGACAGAACAAGAACCTTCCTGTGGTGCAGACAGAGGCATTTTCCCTGTCACCTCCCACCAGACACTCAACAAAAGGACTCCATCCCTGGAAGCCACGGCCGCCCAAGGGCATCCGCCTGCGCAGAGAAGCCAGCAGAAAGTAGGCCAAGCTCTGCAGCCGGAGGAATCCCGTACCTGGCGTCAAGAGCGCTGAGGGGAGTCGGAAGGCCCGGCTCCTGGTGCTGGGGTTACCCTGGGGGCCTGCCCCTCCTGTGTGGGATGAAGGGCTCGGGGGAGACCCGCTCCATGGCCTCCCAGCCTCCTAATGGGGCACACCAGCAGGGAGCCCAGCCCTGTACCCAGCTCAGCTCCTCCAGGCCAAGGCAGAAGGGGGGCTTCTGCAGGACAGCACCCGTGCCCCCCAGCCTCACGCCCACCCCAAGGCCTGGACACCGAGCCTCCCCCAGCTGGGGGACTGAGCAGACACCTCAGTAATGACAAATAAGAAGAGCAGACAGAGCCACAGCCCTTTCAGGGCCAGAAAGCCCTTCACAGGCCTCACCCTTTACAAGAGAGCCTCACTACAGCCAGAGAGGCAGGGGTTGGTATTACCCCCACTTTATAGGGGTTCATTGAGGCAGGCAAAGACTAAGGGCTGTCACACAGCCAGGGTCTGAAGCCAGATTTGAACCTGGGCCGACTCCAAGTCCAGAGCAAACCAGCAATCACCTCTGTCTACCCCTGCCCAGCAGAGATGCTCAGGAAGGCCCTGTGCTGGGTTCAAATCTAGCCCCTGCCACATCGTGACTCCATCTATGTGACCTCCAGGAGGATATCACCCCTTTCTGTGGGCCTCAGTTTCCTCATCTGTGAAATCAGAGAGACTTCTTGGTCTGGTCCCTTCCCGCTCTCCTAACCCTGGCAGCTGGGGCACCTTTCCTCCTCAGACTACCTGGGATTTACTCATCGGCATTCACAGGATCAAAGACGTAAAGCTGGAGGGGACCTGACCGGTCAAGGAGTCCAGCCTCCTCCTTGTACAGATGAGGAAACTGAGGTAGGCAGCTGGTGACGTCTTGATTCCAAGTCCTACACCCTACCCACAGCACCACCTAGCGGCCACAAGCAATACCATCTGCAGAGCCCGACAAGAGAAGCCCCCTGGTCCCAAAACACATGGTCTGAGCAGTGCCTCGCGTCCATCTATTTATCTGTCCGTTGCCTGCTACACAAAGTACGTAGTCTAGAACGAAGGCAGGACCACTAGAAGGGAGGGTTGTCTGGTGAGCCCTTTACTGAAAGGGCTCAGGCCTAGACCTGCTCTGGGTTTTATGCCAGCTTAAATAAAACTGGTCCCATAGCTGACATCCCACTACTGCCCTGGATGCTTGTAGAGGATTGGGAGGCAGGGCAAGCTTTTTGAAAGACAGGAAGTAAATTCAGTGCCCATCTCTGGCACACAGTAGGCACTCAATGATTGCTTCAGCCAGTAAATGCAGTGCCGTACCAAGTAGGTCTTGGTGAATGGACCGGGTCCAAGGGAAATCCCAGACAAGAACACAGCCCATGGAGGTTATTACTTAGAGAGAAGCTTCCACGGTCAGTGAACCTTGTTTATTGTATTGGGGGCCAGCTCCCAGCCGACACGGGGAATGGAACATGCCTTTGATCGATCTATCCCCAAGGCCTAGATTCCCCTCGAACCATCACCTACGCCTGCTGAAATCCTGGTCATCCTTCAAGGCCAACTCCAATCTACCCCGAATGCTTGCTGAGCTAAAAGTCTAATCTCCGTGTCCTCTGAATTCAGAGCCCACTGCTGGCAGCTGTCTTGTGCAGGGTCCCTTCCACTGGACGTGTGGCCGTCTGTTCCCATCTTCTCCCCACCCCCAACAAGAAGGCAGCTCCCATGGGTGGGACTGGGCCTCGTCTGACTATCTCTCATTGTCCAGCACAGGGCTGTCTTCCTCCTAGGTGCCAGAGCCGTCTTTTAAAACAACTGTGTCCCACTACTAGCCGTGTACCCCAAGGAGATCAGAGACAGAAAGGTCCCCCACATACAAGCATTCCTATCAGTAGGCTTGGGCTAACAAAAAATGCAAACAACCGGGACCCCCGTTGAGTGGGAAATGGACGCGAGAGCACAATGGAATATCACTGTTTGGTAAGAAATGACCATCGAGGAATTCCCAGAACGCTGGGAGACCTGTGTGGGGGAAGGGAGCTGGGCTGGAGCCCGCCCCATCGGGCTGGGCACGGGTCCTGCCTTCTGTGGGCAGGGACGTGTGCTCTGGCCCCCTGCCCTGGGCCACATACGGCCGCAGGCTCTTGGGTGATGCTCGAACACCCCCATAATGGGGGCCTGGGTGGCCAAAAACACAAAGAGAGGGCCCTCACGTGTTCTTTCAAGGCGGCCTCTGCTCTGGGACCCAATTGGGCTGGCTCTCCCTCTGACTTCTGGCAAGGGGGTGGGGAGGGGAAGGAATTTCTCCCAGCCCTCTCTCCCTGAGCCCCAGCAGCTACAC